CGCAAAGCACTGGATTTAGGCTTAGTATAGTGCATGACACTTGGTAGGTGATTAATTGTTTCTCCTTTCCCACCCCTTAAGTATGAGGAATCTGAAGCACTGACTTGCCCAAAGTCACATAGCTAGTAAGTACCAGAGGTGAGACTCTAACCCTGGTCTTCTGACTTTAGGATTCTTTTTACTTCTGTGTCTCCACTCACTATGGGAGACAGTCCAGTATAATGGAAAGGGCACAACTCTGGAGTTTAAGGATCAGGCTTCATATCATGGTTCTAACGCTTACCACCTGTACAACTGAACCTCCCTGGGCCTCAGTTTCCTCATCTGCAAAGTGAGGGGTTCAGGGTAGATGACCTCTGAGGCTACTTCCAGCTGCTGCTCTCTATTCCTAGGTGCCAGGTGTCATGCTGCAGAGACAGTGGGCATCCCTCTTACCTTGCCTAAGTGGTACTGCTTATTGCTATTTGACATGAGCAAGCAGAGTTGTGAGGTTGGGACCTAACCAGTGGCTGGGAGCCAGGAGAGAATTGCTCACAGTCCAGTTCTACCAACCCCTGGGAAGCTGCTTCCCAAAGCAGACGCTGGAGTGTCGGTGGTGTGTTCATAGGATTTGGCCAGGTCCAAAAAAGGAAAAAGGAAAGAGGAGGCGGAGTAGTGAGGATGCACACAGGGGAAGAAGGAGCAGGGCGGAGGGACAGCCCTGCAGAGGAGATGAAACAAAGGGAGCACAGAAGACTTAAAAGGCATCCCCGGGAAGGGCGCGGACACCAAAGGAGTCCTGCATGCCAGGACACTGGAGCCAGCCCTCACATTACTCTCCGTTTTGGAACAAGGCTATTTTCCAGCCCTGTATTTTGCCAGCCTACCTACCTCAGAGAGTTGTGAGGAAAGGACTTTGCAAACTTTATCCGAGGCAAGGGAAGAGGGATTTACTTCCTTATTTTTTTTTATTCTGACCTTAACAAACTCCAATGAAAATGCCTATTTCCATATACATCATAGAACTGAAATAGAGAATTATACATGAAACTATGAACTCCTTTATTACATACAACTTGCTTTTTCTTTTAAATGTAGGAAGGGCTGTCCCGCACAAACAGCATGGGATATATTGTTGGGTGACTTGAAGAGAGATAGAATAGTCATCTCTAGGCTCTTCTCCCCTGCCAGCAAGGGAAGCAGGAGGTTGGGGCCAGAAGCTTGGCCACTCTGCTCTCCTAGAGGGTAGTACTTAGCTAAAATTATAGCTCCAGGGCAGCTAGGTGATGAAGCAAATAGAGTGCCAGGCCTGGAGTCAGGAAGATTCATCATCCTGGGTTCAAATCTGGCCTCAGACACTTACTAGCTGGGTGACCCTGGGCAAGTCACTTAACCCTACTTGCCTCAGTTTCCTGATCTGTAAAATGAGTTGGAGAAGGAAATGACAAACCTCTCCAGTATCTTTGCCAAGAAAACCTTAAATGGCTTCACAGAGTGTCAGATATGACTGAACAAAAAAAAATTACATCTTCGCTCCCTTTTAAATATTATTAGCCTAGGGGATGTAGTTTTCATGTTCAAGTTCAATTTCTGATTGCTGTTTATTATGAGGGAAGCAGGACCCCAGACTTTATGTCCAAGGCTTAACTCCCTGCCTACCAAATACAAGTTCCACAATCCAAGTAGCAATTAGCAAAGAAACCCATTTATCCAAGTTGATAGCAAAACAGAAATCAGAGAAAGTATACATAGGAGAATATATACCAGATCATAACATAAAGGAGCTTTTCCACTAGGAGTGAGGTAACTCAGCTCAACCAAGAGAGACAGTTTCAGACCTCACCCAAATATGATGGAAGCTGCCAGCTCCTCTCATATTGGCTTCTTCCCAGAGTTTTTTTTCCTTCAGCATACTGAAGTGCGATTGGTATCTTCTATCTTCTTTCTCGAAGCTGGAAGCCAGAAGCACCTGAATAGACTTTAAAGCCTGAATAGACTCAAGCAAAAACCCTGAAGAGCTCTCCTCCCCCACTAGCCAACTCCCCCCTGCTCCTCATGCAGGTGCACAGCAGTGACCTCCATCAGGTAGGAGAGAGTCCCATACCAATGGGCTTTGGGACTCAGGTTACATAAGGATATAATAAATCCAAGTAACTTTCAAAGTTACACTTCTTGTTCGTGTTTTCTTCTGTGCATTTTCTTTTTTAAAATGCTTCAGTGGCTCTGGTTTCTCCCTTTTTCTTTTTTTCAATCTCATCCAAACCCCTCTTTCCTTCCCAATTCCCCCCTCCCCTCACTATAAAAAAAATTGGAAACAAAACCAGTATAACAAATATGCATAGTTCAAGCAAAACAAATCCCTATCTTGGTCATGTCCAAAAATAAGTGGTTTTTTGCGTCTTGGTTCCGTCCCCTCTCTGTCAGGAGGGAGGTAGCACACTTCATCATCAGTACTCTGGAATCATGGTTAGTTATACTTTGTAAACTTTAAAACATTATATAAATGTGAGTTATTGATGTTAGTATCACAGAATAACATATAATAACTTATATTAGTTAAGTATTTTAACATTCATATAACTTTTATGAACTTTGGGGATCCTTATGCCAACTTCTACTCTCACTGTTAAGTTGGATCCCCAGAGGGCAGCTAACTACATTTCCCCTTCAGGATTCTGGGGGTAAATTTGTAGAGTAGGAGTATATTTCTAATGATGTGAGCTCAAGCCCTCATTCCATTATGTGGTACCCAATATCAATCACCAGTTACAGTTAGTATCTCCTCTGTATCCTTCTATTGACTCAGTGATTAGCACATCTATTGTTATTTTAACCAATTGATTTCTCCTAAATATTTCTCTTAAAATTTTATATTAATTAATATCAATCAGCCTAACAAAAAGATATAGCAAGAACAGAAGTACAAAAACATCCCCCTGAACCAGGGGCACATTTTTCCTCCTGGTCCCTTGGTCCCTAGGGAAAGTGGGTTCAAACTTAGTAGTTGTTACAAAGCATTCACCCTACCAAGTTTTCTTCTGAGTTTGACAGAGCTCCTAGATGAGGCCATCCCTTGCAGGACATAGTATTTCAGCTACCAGGTTGATAACTCCAAGTAGGTCTGTGTCAAGGGCTATAAACAGACTCAGCTTCGGTATGGAGTCCCATCACTAGCACTCCGCTCCTTTGGCCTTTGAAAGTCTCACAGAGCCTCTGTAGCAAAGGAAAGAAGACACAAACAAGAGGTGACCTCATCCCAGACTTGTCTAGGAGGCTATGAGCTCCCACGGGTCAGCCTGCTGGGAGATAGGAAAGGCACCCCCTCTACTGGTCCTCTGGAGCTCAGATAGCTGTCCTTAACACTTCTGGACAGCAAGAAAAAAAGAGTGAATTTCTCTCTTGGGGTCTTTTGTATGCACTTTCAGTTCTGACTCCAGCCAAAAGGCCCTTTCTTCACCAGGCAGCGAGTGGATGAGAACCAGTCATATAATAACAACACGTACTCCAGTATAGAGAGCCAGGTCTCACCATTCTGCATTGTTATGCACCCCTAGAAATAGGTTCCAGAAGCAAGCCTCCTCACAAGGGTTAGCAGCAGGCAGAACCCCCTCTGTGCATGTCCCCGGGATTGGAATTTCATTTTCCAATTCTCTTGTTATATTTGCAGAACACTTTATGTACAATTTTCTCAAGTAGCTGGCTGTCCAATTCAGCCCAGTATGGAAGGCAGAGTTTGTTGGGGGCAAAGAGGCAGGGGTGCAGGTGGCATGACTTTCAGTGTCTATGCACTGGTCAGTCAGTGAGTCAATAAACATTTATTAATCACCCACTATGAGCCAGGCACTGGGCTAAACAGTGAGGATATGAAGAAAGGCAAATGGGGAATATAACAGCTCTAATAAGCTGTAACAACTATGTGGAAAAAAAAAAAAGCTATGTGCAGGATAAAATTAAAATGATAGAGAAAAGGCTCTAGAATTAGGGGGGAACTGAAGAAAGCTTTGTGCAGAAGGTGGGATTTTAGCTGGAACTTGAAGGATGCCAGGGAAGCCAGGAGGCAGAGATAAGGAGGGAGAGTATTCCAGGTAGGGACAGGCGGAGAAAATGACCAGAGACAAGAGGTGAAGTATCTTGTTTGAGCGCTAGCAAGGAGGCCAGAGTCATTTGAATGCAGAGTATCAGAGTACATTGGAAGGGGTTTGGGGAAATGGTATAAATTATAAGAAGACTAGAAGGGGGGAGATAGTCAAAACAGATATTTCTCCTGCCCCTTCCCAAAATGAAGGGACGGGAAAGAGAAGGACCGGGTTCACCCTCCTTTCTACCCCTTTGGAGATGGTTTTCCTGATTTCCTCTTACTGCATCCGCCAAGTCAAAATAACAAATTTATCAAAAACCATTATGGCTCTACCACTGACATGCTGTGTGGAACTGGAAAAGTCATTCTGACCTCGCTCTGCTTCCTCATGTGTGAGATGAGTGATTTTAGATGGTACGTATCTATATCAGATTTTTGGAGCTAGAAGGGATGCTTTCAGGCATTTAGTCTGACTTGGCAGCTCAAAGCTCCCCTATGTATTGTCTCCTCCTATTAGAATGTGAATTCCCAGAGAGCCCTGCAAAGACAACCTTGCTTTTCTATATTTATATTCCCAGTTCTTTGCCCAGAGTAAGTGCTTAATAAATGTTGGTTTTTTTCCCCTTCATTTACATTGTCCAACCTTCATTCACTGATGAGGAAACTCAGGCCCAAAGATTAGCCAGAAGGCAAATGACTCGTCCAGTCACACAGTTAGTGAGTGGCAGAGCTGACTCTGGAACCAGTGCTCCTTCCTCTCCACCCCACTGCCTTCATCAAAGATCCTAACATCCTGCCCTAACATTCTACATGGCTGTGTCTGAGCCGAGGAGAGGACCCATCTAATTTTAAGTCCTGTTTCAATACCCTACAGTTTCATTGATGATTCTTTCGGCTGAAATGAGTGGAAGAACCTGCTAGGCTGGAAATCTTTTTTTTTTTTTTTCAGTCTACGTCTCAGTCAATGGGTGTGTCAGGGCATAATATTTGAAGGAGTGAGTGCCAGGCAGTGTTGCTGCACCAGTAATCAGGTCTAGGTGAGCTGCGAAAGAGGGCCCTGAACACAGAAAGGGGATGGCATCTAAAGACTACCCTCCACCCACCACCTATGCAGCACCTGAAGTGCCCACAGGATTAGCCTTTTATCTAACAATCCCATATGCTTTCTTCATTCCAGAACTGGTAAGTCTGGAGTTTCCTTTCCTGCACAGTCCAGTGAAGGCATGGAAAAGCTGGGGGAGGTCGGGGGCAGGGGCGGGGGGAATGGGTAGAGCAGAGGGAGAAGAGTCAATCCATGAGACTGTGGGATTTAGAGCGATGACTGAGTGAAGAAAATATTACAATATTCAGGGAAACCCTGTAAGTTTTTTGAATTGCTGTTATTGTATCTCTTAGTCAGGAAACTGGTCTCTTCCTCAGTTTAACTCTGCCCAGAAGCCAGATACGTGGATGTCTCACAGGAATCGGCTTAAAGCTAACACAAAAGGCACCACAAAATAGATTTCACGAATATGAATTTCACGCCCCAATTCCAGCAACGTTGGAGATGCGGGCTTTTAAAGGCAAAGCCAGTAGGTGATGAATGCTAAGCACTGTGTTACTCAGCAGTCTGGATTTTGACAACTCATTACTGGTCACTGAAATGACCAGGATTATGGTTAAGGCGTTTGACCCAACATTGGTCACTTCTTTTCCCCTTTATGGAGCTATCTGCAGAGCTGGAAGGGACCTCAGAAGTCACCTAGTCTAACCTCCTCGTTTCACAAATGAGGAAACCAAGGCTCATAGCGGTTAAGTCATTTGCCCAAGATCATATAAGCAGTAAGTAGGAGAGCTGAGATTTGAACCTCTGATGCTTTCTTTTCCCCATGATATTGTTCCACCTAATAGATTCTATCAATTTGGATCACTATTACACTCTTTTCCTGGGAGGAGGGCAAGAAGGAAGGAGGGGTGGGTGAGTGGGAGGGAGACGAGTGGAAAAAATGCTGGCTGTGGAATCAGAGGATCTGACTGTAAATGCTAGCTCTGTTTCTATTGCCTGTGTGACGCTGAGGCAAGACGCTGGGCCTCAGTTTCCTCATCTGTAAAATGAGAGTTGGGATAGCTGATTTCTAAGGCCTCTTCCAACTTCAAATCTATGACTTTTTGATGGCTCAGGTGCACAAAGTGGGTAAAAAAAAAATATCCTTTCTTCCAGTATTGAAAACACATGCTTTTTCTTTATAACTAACTATTCCCTATTCCTCTCTGTTATTGTTATCTGACTGTGAACTTTGGCTTGTGTATGTTTCATGCAACAGAGTAAGCTGACAACATTGGTCATTTAAAAAAAAAAACAGCAACAAAAACATCATATGTGAACCTGATGCCATGTGAGAATCGTCTCCTACATTTATTCCTTGGTGTGGACAGTGATTAGCACAACCCATATCAAAACTAGGAAGAGAGAAGGCCATAACACATTCTATCAGTTGGCATGTCTTCAGTTTCTGGAATATAAGATACCTACCAAACCAGACAAAGTCCAGCCCACTGCAAACCTGATTGAGATGTAATCAATTACTTGAGACTCAAGCCTTGTGAAACTGGTTGGCTGAGTGGGAAGCCTTTCCCTTTTCTTAAAACTGGGCATTCTTGTCCCAAATTTGTTGTTGTTCAGTTGTGTCTGACTCTTCATGAGCCCATTTGGGGTTTTCTTGGCAGAGATACTGGAGAGGCTTGCCACTTCCTTCTCCAGTTCATTTGACAGATGAGGAAACTGAGGCAAACAGGGTTAATTGACTTGCCCAGGGTCACACAGCTAGTAAGTGTCTGAGACCAAATTTGGACTCAGGTCTTCCTGACTCCAGGCATGGAGCTCTATCCACTGTACCACCTAGCTGCCCTAGACAGAGGAAGAGAAAACAAGAACACATACATAGTTCCATTGAATCCAACCAGGGCTTTTCACTTTCATACTTTCCTGAAGATATGCCAACCGATAGAATGTGTTATGGCCTTCTCTCTTCCTAGTTTTGATATGGGTTGTGCTAATCACTGTCCACACCAAGGAATAAATGTAGGAGACGATTCTCAAATGGCATCGGGTTCACATAGGATGTTTTTGTTGCTGTTTTCGGTTTGTTTGTTTTTTAAATGACTGATGTTGTCAGCTTACTCTGTTGCATGAAATATACATAAGCCAAGGTTCAAAGTCAGATAACAATAATTGAGCAAGAGGCTTTGGAAGTTGTTAAGGACTTGAGTAACACCAGTAGAGAACCTGTACAAAGAAGGGAGCCAGGAGTAGTTATTTCTTAAGGGGCAAACTATTGAAGCCCCACTTACAGTGTCTTTGTGGGGACCTCCACTCCAGGATGAAGTGATCTCAGGTGGCTTTCCACATGAGTGACGTTTCAAATGCTCTTTGAGTTCTGTATTTACAACAGCGATGGTGCGTTAGTTACCTTACCTTTGAAATTTTGAAGTTCCCTGAGTAAGCAAAACTGTGCTCTATGACACAAGGCTGTGATGGGATGCCAAGGGGATTACACCTGGTGTAAGATGAAGGTGAATGGGGGACTGATGCTGGTGTGGATGGGAAATGATAGTTCTTAGGGAAATAACAGGAAAAATCAAGATAATGTTCAAGGACAGAACATATAATAAGAACTCCAAAGGAATACAGGCCAGGATCATTTCAGGATTTGAGGGTTACAAATGAATCTTCATCAGCTGTATAATACATAGGCTAATATATATTGGCATGAGAAGACAGAGACTAAGGAAAATGAGTTTATGATGCAATAAAGAGACAGTGTAGTATGATAGAATGGACACTAACTCTGAGGTTCAGAGAACAGTCAAATTATGACTCTGATGCTCATTTAACTATGTGACTTTTGTCAAATCATTTAACCTCCCTAGGTCTCATTTTTTCATGTGTAAAACGAAGGGGAAGGAAGGAAACAAGAATTTATTAAGTACCTCCTATGTGCCAGGCACTGGGCTAAGCGCTTTACAAATATTATCTCGTTTGATCCTCACAACAACAACCCTGGGAGGCAGGTGCTGTTATGATCCCCATTTTATAGTTGAGGAAACTGAGGCAGACAGAGATGAAGTGACTTGTCCAAAGTCACACAACTAGGAAGTGTCTGAGGTCAAATTTGAACTCAGGTCTTCCTAACTCTAGACCAGTGCTCTATCTACTGCACCTTTGAAGTAGCAAGGGGTTGGATTAAATCACTCTGGAAGGGGTCTTGCAGCTCTAAATCTATGGTCCTATATGTTTAAAGTTCAAGGGCAACCTTGATCCGATTATCAGAATGACAATAATAGCTTGTGTGTGTATGGCATACAAAGTAGGCTTCTCCTCAATGACCATTTAAGTAGTGCAAGTAATTACTCTTCCATTTTATAGATAAGGAAGTTAAGGCTAAGAGAAATTATGACTTATCTAAGGTCACCCAGCTAATAAGTATGAGAGCTGAGGCTCACGCTCAGGTCTTCTGACTCCATGCCGAATGAGTTTGCCTGGTTTTTTCTTACTGTATAGCACTGCCTTTGATTTCTACCTGGACATTGTAATAACTGCCGTGACCAGGTCTTTGAAGGAGGTGGCAGGATGGGCCAGGCCTGTGAAGCGTGAGACCAGAAACCTGAGCAGATTCTCTACAGGGCCCTCCAGAAGGGCCTAATCACTGAATCGGGTCCGAGATCTATTCTTCTCTGGATGGACGCACAGGAATGTGAATACACAAAGCAGACCTGAAACTGGGATGTCAGGCCAGGGGAAGAAGAGCAGGTGGATGGAAATGCATTTGGTCGGGTTCTCAAGAAAATCCAAGTTCTGGAGTAGCTGGAGCACTCCAAGCTGGAGTGGGGAAGGTTCCCTGTGAGGTTCCAGGGGGCAGGTAGGGAGATTAGATATCATGTACCTACAGAGTGGTTTGCATGTTGTCTTCTCCATTAGAATGCTGAGCTTCTTGAAGGTAGGGACTGGGGTGTTTTTGCCTTTTTTATTTCCAGTGTTTAACACAGTGTCTTGCATGTAGTCAGTACTTATTAAATGCTTGTTGACAGACTAGTTTGTAATCCTAGGCAAGTCATTTAACCTCTCTGTGCCTCAGTTTTTTCATCTACAAAATATGGGGGAGGGATGGAGTCAATTGCCCCTAAGGTACCTACCAGCTCTGTGACCTGATGACCTAGCCACTGGGAGTCTAGAGTGCGTACAACAGATAGGAGGAGAGGACGTAACAGGGGCTGATGACAAACAAAAGAGAAGAGTTATCAAGGCCAACAGCTCAGAAGATGCTGAAGGCTGTCAGAAATGCTGAGGACAGTTCTGGGAGCCAAGATGGCGGAGTAAGCAGGAAATCACCCTAACTCTCCCATGTTCACCTCCAAACAACCATAAAACAGCACCCCAAAACAAACCCTGGAACAGCAGAACCAGCAAAAAGACAGGGTGAAAATCTTTTAGCCCAAGAAACTTATGAGATCAATAGAAAAGATCTGTGTCTCTTGGGTAAAAGGGGAGCGCAGTTCAGGACAGGAAGCACTTGAGCAAGCCAGCAGCAAGCCCCACCTCAGCAAACCTGAGGGAGATCCTGGGCCCCAGTGTGGTGGAGCAGGCAAATGCCAACACCAGGACCCCCGTGTGCCTTAGTATAGCCAGAGGAACAGGCAGACTCCTGCTCTAAGAACCGCCAGGTGCTTCAGCATAGCCCTGGGCAAACAGGCATCCTGCAGGGGCCAGCCCACCACCCGCTTCAGTGTAGCTACAGGGAAACGCAGGAACACCCCACTTGCCTCAGCACACACCAGATACCAGCACTAGGACCCTGGCTCAGCACCAGGTGAGCTGCCAGACCCCTACAGCATCCAAAGTGCCAGCCATCCCCCAACCCACCCCCTCAGCCCAGCACCAGACAGGAAGGTCCCCTGTGGGCCTCTGGGCAACATCAGTGCAGCATCAGATAAACAGCCAGGGCCTGCAGCCCCTGGCTCAAGAAGCCTGAGACAGTGCCCCTTACACCCCAGGAGCAGAGCTCAAGTTTAAGAGAAAGGAAGAAAACTAAAAAAAGATGAGCAAAAGGGCAGCCAGGTGGCACAGTAGATAGAGCTTTGGCCTTGGAGTCACGTGGACCTGAGTTCAAATCCAGCCTCAGACACTTGATACTTACTGGCTGTGT